AGATCAATTCAAGTTAGTTTTCAAGTCAGCGATGTAGTGGACTAACCAAGAGGGCTGTACCGGTAGAAAGAGAGCTGGTTACCTCTTCAGGTAAGAATTGAATCAGAGATATTGAAAATTCATGAAGTATCAAGTTGAGCTATTCATAAAATTCAACTGAAATTTTGAATTCAAACTGATGGAAAATTGACAGCGTGGGTAATTCACTTCAAATGCTCTTCTTTTCCAGCCTAAAGGATTGTGCTTCATTGAAACACTTTATACCTTCATCGGTCAAGTTGGATCACGGAAATCAAATGGTACCATGTTTGGTCAGATATGGTGTCAATGCATCATGTGTTTGTCAAGAAGGAAGGTGTTTGGAAGTTGTGGTGTTTATACATCATGTGCTTTTGAATAAGGAGGCAGTGAAAAGTTGTGCGGTCTTTGCCGCATATGTTCATCAAATCGGAAGCAGTTTAAAAGCTGCGGCGTCAATGCATCATGTTCTTCTCAACAAGAAGCAGTTAAAAAGTTGCGGTGTCGATGCATCATGTTCTTCTCATCTAGGAAGCAATTAAAAAGTTGCGGTGTCTTCGCATCATTTGGTTATCATCAAGGAAGCAATTTTAAAGTTGCATTGTCAATGCATCGTGCTCTTCTCAGTAAGGAAGCAGTTAAAAATTTGCAGTGTCTGTGCATCATGTGGTTATCGACAAGGAAGCAGTTTAAAAGTTGCGTTGTTAATGCATCATGTGTTAATCAACAAGGAAACAGTTTAAAAGTTGTGTTGTCAATGTATCTATTCACGAAGCAGTGTAATCGTTGCAGTGTCCGTGTATGAACTGATTATCAAAAGGGGAACAGTTTTTTAAGTTTTAGTTTCTAAATAAGTATCATGCGATCGTTAAATAGTAAAATGATGATAAGTAATAAAATACCAAGTTTGCCTATAAAAAATAAACAATAAATAAATTAAACTAAAACTCACAAATAAACAAATAAAAAAGGTCCAATGAAAATAAATCAAATATAAACAAAAAAAAAACGTGCACTATCCATCCTCAACCCCTCCCAGAATTACTTCACATTTGTGCCTTCCCTTTTTGAATGGACTCTTCTTGACTCTCTTTTGGGTTTCAAGATTGATATTAATGATCCTTAAATCATTCAATTTATGTTTACCAACGCATTGAAAAAATGTTACTGGTTTTGTTCCCGGCCAACAAACTAATGCAACAGTAATTCTGACCTCTGATTATCAGAAGTCGATCTCAGACATTTGATTTCGAAGTTCACAGTTTTATTTCAGACTACCGACTTTTAACTTTTCGCCTTCCGGCCTTCGGACATTTGATTCCGGAGTTCGAAGTTTTATTTCCGACCATAAACGTAGAATCTTTTTGTTTCCGGCTTCGGACTTCTAATTTCCGACGTAAACCTTCGGATTTCGGACATTCGATTTCGGAGTTTTATTTCCGACCATTAACGTATAATATTCTCACTTCCGGCTTCAGACTTCAATTTTCGACTAATCTCCTACGTCCCGATCTCTGACGGTGAACTTTCAAAATCGGAGTTTAATTCATCAATTGTTACAAGTAGACCTTCGACTTAAATGCTCGATCTCCCTTTTTTTTTCGACTTGGACTCCAAAGTACCATTTTCGACATTCATTATCAAGAGAGTCCAATTCTCTTTTTGAGTCAGGAATATGAAATCAAAACATCAGGGCATTTTTAACATTTAAAAAAGAGAAGCACATCAGTAACCAAGATGAGATGTGTATTAATTACCTTCAATTTTACAAGCTGTTAAAGATTTAACCCTTTAAATCCTAAGAGTTGCTGGCATTTAATTTCTCTACACAATACCACTCCTGAGTGAATAAAGGAAACAATCTACAACTTAAATAGCTCTTGTTACGGGAAAATTTACTGATTTTTCCGTGTGTGTTATTCGGAACATATTTATTCGTAAACTTTCACATTT